CAGGCTCCTGTATGTCCCTCCTTGAGATCAAGACTCACCCCAATCCCACCATTAAATCTGGAATAAATCTTGCTCTTCTTTATGATTTTATGACCTGTGACTGTATCCTTAGAAATGGGTGTAGCTTTGCCCACTTTTGAGTGTTGTGTAAAGGGAATCTTGCAGTATGTATTTTTTCTGTGATTCACTGTGTTTTGCCTCTGTATTCTGGTGTTGAGATCCATTCATGCAGGGGCAGTAGCTGTAGTCCATATGCTCTGAGAATGTGCTATGATAGATTCATGTAGGTGCCTTTCTCCAGGTTAAGTTTTCTTCTATTCTTAGTTTGCCAGAATATTTTATCATGCAATGATTTTGAACTGTATCAAGTATTTTTTCTATTTTAACACATACATATGTAGTAAGTTGCATTAATAACTTTCTAGTACTAAATCAACACTGCATTTCCGTGATAAAATTGTACTGATCATTATTTAATACATGATTGGATGTAGTTAAGTATATTTTGTTTAGAAGTTTTGCATCTATGTTCTTTAATGAGATGAGTCTGTAATTTGCTTTCCTTGAAATGTCCTAGTCTAATTTTAGTATCAGAGTTGTACTGGCTGCATACAATGAGTTGGAAACTATTCCCTTTTCTCCTGTATTCTGGAAGAACTTGTGTAGAAATGGCTTTGTCTGTGCCCAGAATGTTATATACAACACTTGTATAAAGTCATCTTGGCCAGGTATTTTCTTTTTGGAAATTTTTAAAACTAGTTATTCAGCTTCTTTAATGAATATAAGACTATAAATTTCTCTCTAAGTACTGCTTTTGCTGCATCTAAAGTTTTATTATTTTATTTTTTTATCATTCTGCATGTGTTTTCTACTTTAGATTGGGAGGCAGCCTAACAGAATCAGAGTACAAACTCTTTAGCCAGGCAGCCACCACATGAAAATCCCTGCTTTACCCTTTTCCTGCTGTATGAAGTTGGCCAGGCTGTTAATCCTCTATGGGCCCCCGTTTCTTCATCTGCAAACAGAATAGCAATAGATTCAACCTCATAAGGTTGTGAGGATTAAAAAATATACAAAACTCCTAAGACAGTGTTTGGGACATGAGGTAATTAATAAATACCATGCATAGTGTTTGCTGTTATTTTTTCTTTTTTAACTCGAGTTGATATATATATGTTTCAACATTTCAAAATGTGTGTGTGTGTTTTGAGTTGGAGTCTCATTCTGTTGCCCAGCCAGGAGTGCAGTGGCATGCTCATGGCAACCGCAGCCTTGACCTACTGAGCTCAGGTGATCCTTCTGCCTCAGCCTTCCAAGTAGCTGGAACTACAGGCACATGCTACCACCCCCGGCTTATTTTTTTTATTTATTGTAGAGATGAGGTCTCACCAAGTTGCCCAGGCTGGTCTCGAACCCCTGAGCTTAGGCAATCCTCTTGCTGCAGCCTCCCAAAGTGTTGGGATTACAGGTTTGAGCCACTGCGTCCAGCCCAAATGTGTATGTTGAAGGGGGCAGCAGTTTCTAGCCAATTTTTTGTTTTGTTTTATAATTTTACATAATTGTGGCCAGAATATGACCCATATGATATCAGTTCATAGAAATTTGTTGAGGCCAGCACTTTGGCCTGGCATAGCATTAATTCACACAATTGTTTCAAGTGTGCTTAGAGATATGCGTTAAGAACACAATTAGTAATTATGCCTTTCAAATCTGTACCCTCGCCAATAATTGTCTTCTTGATCTAAGAAAGGTATAGACAGTTTTAAAGGAGGCAAGTAACCTAGGTAGCCTTATCTTTTGTTTAGAAAGACTGCTTTTTTGTGTGTTTTATAAAGTTTTCTTTTAACAGGTATTTTATTTTAGAATACTTTTATACTTATAGAAAAATTACAAAGAAAGCAGAGAGTTCCCATATACCCCACATTGGCTTTCCTGTTATTTACATCTTACACTACTATGGTATATGGGGTATAAATCCTGAACCAATATAGATAAATTATTATTAACTCAAGTCCATACTTCATTCAGACTGCCCAAGTTTTTACCTCATTCCTTTTCCTGTCCCAAGAGCCCATCCATATTACATTTAGACATAACCTCTCCTTTGGCTACTCGTGGTTATAAAAGTTTCTGAGACTTTGTTTTTGATGAACTTGATGGTTTCAAGGAGTACCCGTGAGGTATTCTGGAGATCCCTCAGCTGCAATTTGTCTGGTGTTTCTCCCATAATTGGACTAGGATTTTGGTTTGGGGAAGTAAGATCATAGAGAGGTCAAGTGGCACTCTCATCACAGCATATCAAGACCACACACTACCAAAATGACCAAGTACTGTTGATGTTAACCTTGATTACCTGGCAATCAAGCTTAATACATGTGTAAGCTACTGTAATTCTTACTACGCTGGAATGTCATTGTGATATTATGATGCTATGCAGGACTAGATTCCAGAGACTTGGATTCTGAGCCCATTTCTGCACATAATTGCTGTGTGAGCTTTGGTTGGTCATTTCACCCCTCTGTTGTTGCTAATACAAACTATATATTCTTTTGTTGTTCATATTTATAGTTACTTCTGAAATGCTTTCTAAACAAAGTGTTGTTTGCAAATGGTGGTAGCCAGCCTCCAAGTTGTCCCCAGTGGACAGGGTTGACCTGTTGTAACCAATTGGATCTTGTAAAGATGAGGTTGTGTGATTGCTAAGATTAGATAATGAAAGGCATCTGGCTTCCACTTTGTGATATCTTAAATCACTCACTGAGAGAAAGTTGGCCACCATATCGTGACACTCTGGAAGCTTTAGGCAAAGGTTCACATAGTGAGGAAATGAGGCCCCCCATGAATACCCAGCCCTGACTTGCCAGCAACTGAGTGCGCACCATCTTCAGCCCCAGGGAAGCCTTCGATGACTGCAGTTCTAGACACCGTATGGACTGCAGTGTCATAAGGACCCCCAATCCAGAATCGCTCAGTCGAGCTAGTCCAGAATTCCTGAACAGCAGCAACAGTGTGGAATCAATCTTTATAGTCCATAGAACTGCATCAATGTGAAGGATGTGGTATTCAGAAGCCTTCCTCTCTGAAATCAGACCTTGAAAACCGCACTGTTTGAAATCAAGCCTCCAAGGCGTTGTCCAGATTTTCCATCAAAGGTCTTGCTTGCCCTTGTGATTTAATACTAAGTTCCATCTTCCCGTTGGTCTCATCATCTCATTAACAATCCTCCCCTTGGGCTGATCATTGTTTTGGTCAATCCCAGCCATGTCATGCATGTGTCCCCCAGAAATGCGGGCAAGGCTCCTCAGAGGCGGGGTCAGCACTGCTGCTCTGCCACTGCCACTGCCACAGCCCCTGCATGACCACCTCGCTCACTATGATGGTCCACTGGGGTCCTGAAGCTGGCTCAGGACCTGTCCAGGAGGGCGTGAGGGCTTGGGTTCCACAAAGGAAGGGAGGGGGTCCCCAGCAGCAAAGCAGCACCTGCCTCAATGCATGGATCCTCTTGTATCCACCTGCTCCTGGATGAGCCGTTGGTGGATACAGCTGGCCCCACCAAACACCCAGCCTCTCCTCCTGCTCCCTTGAGGTTGCCTCTCAGTGTCTGCAATCAACAGGCCCCATCTGAGCCCAGGCCATTGGCCGCTGAAAATACCATCTGAGCGTCCAAGTGCAGACGCAGCTGCTCCCCACTTTCCCCTTCCCCACTGTGGGCAAGTCTCCTGCCCAGGGGCCAGTCCTGAGAGGATCTGGGGGTTTCTGCCAGAAAGGAGGAAGGGGATCGCACAGGTTTCCCTTAACCTTGTATGTGCCCGTGGGCCAACTCTTAACTGTCTTGCTGTAGTGGTCTATCTTAACTACAAGGCAGGGAGCTGACTTTAAAACTCTTGAAGTTTTTCTAAAGTGTGTTTAAGCCGACTACTAACTAACTTGAGAAACAGGTGGGGACTGGGTCACAGATGATTTGACATTACTTGTAACAAAACCCAACTCTGCTCTTGATGATTAGAGGGTGGTTATGAGTTTGTATTTTAACTCAGGACGGGGTGAGAACTGCCTACTCCAGCAGGGGAAACTACACCACTGTGACCAACAGCTGCCAAGAAGACCAGGCCCAAGGTTGCCAGGTAGGGAGGGCGGCCTGGGTGGGGGTAGGAGCTCTGGGCCCTCCACCTGTTTGACCCCAGCTGCTGAGGGGCTCCGTACCCTTGCATCCCCAGGTGAGGCCCAGAAACCTCTGCTGTCCAATGAACTGCACCTTTGGGGGTGCATCTTAAACACAAGCCACCTGCAAGGCAGTAAGAGTGACTTGGTAATAGCATCCTATCATACAGAAAAGCCAGTGACACACAACATGACTTGATGAACTTTCAGGTCAATAGTCTATGCCATCCCTTTCTTGGCCTTTGTCAGTTTAATTCTGGATGAGAAAACAGTAATAAAAACAAGCACCAACATTAGAGCCTCCAAGTCTTTACTTCTGTAACCCTATTTAAAGCATTCATTCTCATCCAACTGGGTGCCACTTATTTATGCTTTTCCTTCCTCGGTCTAGACGGGCTTCACCAAAGTGTTTCTCTCAGATAATGCTGCTTAGTTAAGAGAGTCTTGGGCCTTTACAAGCAGGAGGACCAGCTAAGCAATCTGTGAAATCTAAAACGGGCTTATGTCCTGGCTCATCCCAAACGCTGGGATTCTCAGCCTTGGCCCCATCTCAGATAGAATCACCCGGGCAGCCTGCAAACTCGTGACGGCCTGGCCACAGCCCAGACCAATTAGACCCAGGGCAAGTCCAGACGTCACAGAGCTTAATGTTCCCCAGATGCCTCCCGTGTGCAGCCGGAATGCACCCACGGCCCTGAGGCTAAATGGGTCAAGTTCTGGGGTTAGGGATCCCTGCTCTTGCTGCAGTGGACTGGCCTGCCTCATGGGTATCTGGGGAGTGAAGGTCAGGAGTGGGACGGGTGGGTCATTGTTTTAAAAAACTCCAAAATGGAACAGCATCAAGCTCACAAAAGCACTTTTTATTTGAGGCAAAGTCTTGCCGGAAGGATTACAGATCCAAGTTGTCAGAGCTGTTGGTGGCCTGTTCTGACTATAGAATCTGCCTCTCCTTGGTCCGACAAGGGCAGTCAGACTGGACTCCCCCAGCTGGGCAAAAAGAAGGGTCAAAAAAACCAGAAGAGATGTCTACTCTACTGACGCTGCTCTGCAGACCTCACATCAAGCGAGACAAGCACTTGGCAGGTTGCTGTCCCACCACAAGGGACACAGGCCACACCACACTTGCAAGGAGAAACAAGGTGGGAAGCAGGTGTCGGCCTCTTGGGGAAGAGCAGGCATCCGCAGCTTCAGAACTCCTCGTGGAAAGGGTAATCCTTGTGGGAGGTACAGCTGTCAGGAGAAAGAGAACACAAGCATTTGCTTGTCAAGGAAATGATTTTGACTGTAACAAACTCCCACATGCAGAGATGATGTGTCTCACTACAGGACGAAATGGAGGCCCTGGAGGCAAGAGGCCAGTTCCGGGTCTTCAGGTCACAGGTCTGCAGCTGGGCGGCAGCTCATCCTCCACTCCTCTTCAGGGTTGTCACCAAGGAGCACATGTGTGATGCTGCCGCCCACCTCACGTGCCCAGCACTGTGCCTGGTGTGTGCAGAACAAGCACGATTCCTGACTGCTAGTAACTCCGCCCAGCTGGCAGGCCCAGATAGCACCTTGTCTTGAACAATAAGAGGGTGTGACAAGCAAAGAGATGACAGTAATAGAAGCGGTGTTAAATCTCCTGGGCAGCGAGACCTCATCTCTACAATAAATCAAAAAATCAGCCGGGCGTGGTAGCGCGCGCCTGTAATTCTGGCTACTCGTAAGGCTGAGGCGGAAGGATCGCCGGAGCCCAGCAGGCGAGGCTGCGGTGACTGGGATTGGCCACTGCACTCCAGTCTGGGCGACTGAGTGAGACTCCAACTCAAAAAAAAAAAAAAAAAAAAAATCTGTGGCAGAATCCGAGGACCAGAGAGACAACAGCAAGTGCTCCAAGGACTGGAGGAGGAAACTTCCAGGGTTCCCTGGCATGTACCCATGGGGTTAAAGTGAGCCCCACAGTCACTGGGGGTGGACTGGAAGGGAACAGGCTGAGAAGTGCAGGCAGGTCTGCCGCAGCTCACTATCCACCAGGAAGGGCCAACGGCTTGTGCTGGGAACATGATGGCAGCAATGCTGGGCAGGCATGAAGGCCAGGTGAGCCCAGCTGGGAGCATGTAACTCTTATTCAAACACTGAACCCGTTAACCCATCTTTTTTTTTTTTTTTAACACCGGTGCACTAAGACTCCATCAGCAGCAGCATAGGCTCAGCACAGCAGTATTTGCCAGAGAGGATCTGCATGTATGCAGTCAGAAAAAGCTCCCAGGAGACCCTGAATGGCAAGCCAGCCTCTCCTCCCCACTCAACACCAGGAGCAGCCAGGACAATCTGACAGCTGCTTCTGGAACAGACTGGAGGGGGCAGTGTCTGAATGTAAAGGAACAACTAGGAAACCACAGGCTTCATCAGCCCTGAGAGCTCATCCACGGTATCTGGCCAGCAGGTGGGTGGGGCGGGGGGGAAGAGTGGAAAGGGCATGTGATGAACAAGCAGAGAAAGAACTAATGCAGCCGGCATCAGACTCACTCCTCTCGTTCTTGCCCACTAGACCCAAGAATGGCTTCAGCATCTGAAGGGTAGGTAGCATTACAGGGCCTCTGAGAGGGCCTGGCCTGGGGCTGCCTGGGATAAGCCAGCTGTGGCCTGTTTGCATCTGAGGCCAATGGAGAGCATGACAGCAACAGGCCTCCCAGGCACATGTCTGCCTGAAGCACCGAGTGAGCATCCAAGATGCAAACCAGGTAGACATCTGCCCGGGGCAGGTGGGGACCTCGGTGCCAGCTCTGACTTGGGGGAGAGAGCACAGCTGGAAAGAGGCACCGGCACCCCGCCTGGCCTCAGGGAATGTCCATGTGTGCTCCGAGGAGGAAGTGCTCAGGAGACAGTGGAGGCAGCTTGGACAAGAACAGGGCAGTGAGAGAGAAGCAGAGTGGTCTCCACTGCAAAACAGGAAGCTGCTTCTTGAAAGCAGATGGTGAGCTGTAGGCTCTACATAGTTAACGGACTGGTAGGAAAAGAACAAAACAAAGAATGTTCCCAGGCATCTCCCTCAGACTCCAAACGGCAATGCAGAGGAAACCAAGAACCAGGGGTCGTACGCTGGAGGGGCCTGGGAGATGCAGGTCAGAGGGGAGGATTGGACAGCAGGGCGGCACACAGGGGTTGCCTGATCCCTGGCCCACAGTCTTCCTGCTGAACCCCTTTTACAGGGTCAGGAAGACAAAGGGGCACAAGCATGTGCCCCCAGCACTGATGAAGGCCACCTGGGCACATTGGGTTTCAGAGGACTCACTAAGATGTAAAAAGTAAATGCCAAAACGTGCAGCTATTCCAGGCCAGGTCGACAGCGCTGGGCTGGAAGGACATGGACATTCCGTGCTCGGAATGGTTTGCGAGTGCAGGTCTAAATGTCTCCTGCTGCACGTGGGTGAGGAGGCACGGCAAGGTGCAGAGCAAGAGCTGCCATGCTGGGGCATGGCCCTGGGACCTCCAGGACTGCTCTTCTGTGAGACAGCCTCGAGGACCTCCTGCAGGCTGCTGTGACATGGGGCCCACTCACCTAGACAGGGGACAGACCCGCCAATTCCTATTGTAGCTGAGTAAGGTGGTCATGTCTTCGCTGCTCAGCTCAAAGTCAAAAACCTGCAAGAAACAAGACCCAGTTGGCTCTGCCATAAAATCAAGAACAGCACGCTGTGCAGTACCCCGATGTCTTCCGTGGCCCTGAGGGGAGCGGGGCAAGGCAAACTGAACTTAGAGGTTTTTCACATTACCACTGGGGGATGCCCAAGTTTGGCCCTTTGTAATTGCATTTATTTCATTTCATAAACACTACTGAGCACCTCTATTGTGACAATTCCCAGTGAGGAATACCACGATGGGGTATTCACAGTATATGAATGGAGTGCCTTCGCCTCCATTCACAGTAAGAAAAGGACAGAGGTATTTCAACAGCTACAGGACTGTTAAGCACACGCTGTGTAAGATACCAAATAGCATTCAGGAAGCCAAGAGGTCTTAGAAATAAATTCTGCGTATGCCTGTAATTCCGGCTACTTGGAAGGCTGAGGCGGAAGGATCACCGGAGCCCAG